ATTCTTTAAAAATCCACGCCTTCTTGATGTCTCTAAAAATATTTTTTAAAAATCCACGCCTTCTTGAGGTCCCTAAAAATATTCTTTAAAAAATCCACGCCATCTTGAGGTCCATAAAAAATATTCTTTAAAAAATCCACGCCATCTTGAGGTCCATAAAAAATATTCTTTAAAAAATCCACGCCTTGTTTGAGTCCCTGAAAAAAATATTCTTTACAAATCCACGCCTTCTTGAGGTCCCTAAAAATATTCTTTAAAAATCCACACCTTCTTGAGGTCCCTAAAAATATTCTTTAAAAATCCACGCCTTCTTGAGGTCCCTAAAAATATTCTTTAAAAAATCCACGCCATCTTGAGGTCCCTAAAAAATATTCTTTAAAAAATCCACGCCTTGTACTAGTCTCTGAAAAAAATGTCTTTAAAAATACACGCCTTGTATTAGTCCCTGAGAAAAAAATTCTTAAAAAATCCACGCCTTGTATTAGTCCCTGAGAAAAAAAATTCTTAAAAAACAAGCCTAAAAATATTCTTTAAAAATACACGCCTTCTTGAGGTCCCTAAAAATATTCTTTAAAAATCCACACCTTCTTGAGGTCCCTAAAAATATTCTTTAAAAATCCACGCCTTCTTGAGGTCCCTAAAAATATTCTTTAAAAAATCCACGCCATCTTGAGGTCCCTAAAAAATATTCTTTAAAAAATCCACGCCTTGTTTGAGTCACTGAAAAAATATTCTTTACAAATCCACGCCTTCTTGAGGTCCCTGAAAAAATATTCTTTAAAAAATCCACGCGCTGTTTGAGTCCCTGAAAAAATATTCTTTAAAAAATCCAGGCCTTGTTTGAGTCCCTGAAAATATATTCTTTAAAAAATCCAGGCCTTTTTTGAGTTCCTGAAAAAATATTCTTTAAAAAATCCACGCCTTCTTGAGGTCCCTAAAAAATATTCATTAAACATTTAGGGCTAGTACTAAACCCAAAAAACAAGACATTAAAGGTCCACCCTCTAAAAATTACTTTTAAAAAATAATCCCTCATATGAAGAGTCCATGGTCGAACATCTGTTCCAAATCGTATACCAAACCAACTTCTCCCTTTTGCGACCCATAACTAAAGTCATAACAAAAATCAAACCACAGCAACGTCATCATCTTCCTACTGCCTGGTTCTTGGTATCAGACCAGCCAAATCTTTCTTGTGGCATAAAAATCAAAAACAAAACCCCAACAACAACAAATATTCCTGTTTCGAACCAGAACAACAACAATGTTTAGAACAATGCCAAAAAGTTAAAATATGTCTTCTGTTCTCACTCGTTTTTTGTGCTGCCCTAACCAACATTTCTCAGATACTTTGTAAGAGAAAAAGTATTTTGGTGTTATTGTTGTTTTTTGTAGGATTTGTTGGCCGCCAGTCGATACCGGCCATCAAATAAATAAAACTGTTTAGATGCGCAATAATGCCAAAAACGGTCTTATAAAATCCATTGACAGGATGTTATCTTAGAGATGGGGTTTTGTTTTTATTTGCTACGCGAATTCAAAACAATATGGCAATATTGTTAGGAAGAAAATATGTTACCAATTGTTGTGGTATTTGGAGCAAACGATCTAAATTTGGTAGTAAACAGATGTGAAAAAATGTATTTACAAAGATTCAGATTTTTTTTTTTTGTTAAAGAAAGTCTCCACGAAACTGGTGTTTAACCAACCGTATAAAATTGACCATTGCTCCCTATTTCGAGATGCCTTCATCTGCCAACAGAAAAACCCAATCGATCAATAATTAAAAAAATAAATAAAATTATTTCTCTATGACATTCTGAAACTAATTGCTAAAGTTAATAACAACATTTTTCTGAAGTCTATAATTTTTTGAATTGCCATAACCAATTCGTAATTGAAGTCCGTGGCAAAAATTAAAAACGAAAAAAAAAACTGATTATAATTTGTTCCCCTCATATAGACTACTCTACTGCCTGGTGTTGTAGTAGTACGAGTATGTGACCTCGAAATTCAAAACTAAATTATGTTTCCGATTTTATGGGCTCTATATTGGTTGGTTTTAGAAAAAAAAATATAAATTCGGCTTAATGAGATTTCATTATAGAGCGGCAGTGTTTTGTCGTTTCTTCAATGGATTTTTTTTTTCATAATGGATGTGTTAAAATAGCTATGGGCACAATTCGGTCATTTTGTAACCGAAAAGAAAAAAATGGAAACTATTTGATGTACGCTAATGGTTTCACCTTAGAAGCTCTGTATAAAGTAAGAAAAAAATGAGAAATATTTTTTTTTTACAATAGAAAAACTCATAATAACAGCAGAGCAAAATTAAAGTGCTACATGCTGGGAGTTCGGCAAACATTTGGGTCATAGAATGCAAATCAATTGCGAAGTGGATAAGTATTTCCAACACCTGACAAACATAAATGAATACCCTCTTGTTTTTTTAATAGTAAAGAAGGATGGTTTAAACAAAAAAAAATTTTGAATGTGTTCAGGGTTTAAAAATTGATATCGAATTTAAAAAAGTGGCGTGGATTTTTTAAAAATATTTTTTTTTTTATTTTTTGGGGTCTATAAAGAGGCGTGGTTGTATTAAAAATATTTGTTTATCTTTTGGGGTCTATAAAGAGGCGTGGATTTTTTAAAAATATATATTTTTTTGGGTCTATAAATTAAAATTATTATTATCTTTTGGGTTCTATAAAGAGGCGTGGATTTTTTAAAAATATTTTTATCTTTTGGGTTCTATAAAAAGGCGTGGATTTTTTAAAAATATTTTTTTATTTTTTGGGGTTTATAAAAAGGCGTGGATTTTTTAAAAATATTTTTTTATCTTTTGGGGTCTATAAACAGGGGTTGATTTTTTTAAAAAATATTTTTTTATCTTTTGGGGTCTGTAAAAAGGCGTGGATTTTTAAAAAATATTTTTTTATCTTTTGGGGTCTATAAAAAGGCGTGGATTTTTTAAACATATTTTTTTATCTTTTGGGGTCTATAAAAAGGCGTGGATTTTTTTAAAAATATTTTTTTTATCTTTTGGGGTATATAAAAAGGCGTGGATTTTTTAAAAATATTTTTGGGGTCTATAAAAAAGCGTGGATTTTTTTAAATTTTTTTTTTTCTTTTGGGGTCTATAAAAAGGCGTGGATTTTTTATAAATATTTTTTTATCTTTTGGGGTCTATAAAAAGACGTGGATTTTTTAAAAATATTTTTTATCTTTTGGGGTCTATAAAAAGGAGTGGATTTTTGTAAAAATATTTTTTTTATCTTTTGGGGTCTATAAAAAGGCGTGGATGTTTTAAAAATATTTTTTTATCTGTTGGAGCCTATAAAAGGGAGTGGATTTTTTAAAAATATTTTTTTGGGGTCTATAAACAGGCGTAGATTTTTTAAAAATATTTTTTGGGGTCTATAAACAGGCGTAAATTTTTTAAAAATATTTTCTGGGGACTATAAACAGGCGTAGATTTTTTAAAAATATTTTTTTGGGTCTATAAACAGGCGTAGATTTTTAAATTTTTTTTTTGGGTCTATAAACAGGCGTAGATTTTTAAATTTTTTTTTTGGGTCTATAAACAGGCGTGGATTTTTATACCCTTCACCACACTGTGGTACAGGGTATTATGTCTTTGTGCATATGTTTGTAACAGGCAAAAGGAATCGAGATAGACAAATGGATCCTTTTGTGAATATGCATAGAATCACGTTCTGTGTCGATTTACGCATGTCCGTCTGTCCATGTATTCTTGTTAACAAAGTACAGGATGCATTTGTGATCCGATTTGGAAGAAATTTGGCACAAGTCACTTATTTGGCCCAAGGACGAACGCTATTGAAATTGGAGAAATCGGTGCAGATTTGGATATAGCTCCCATATATATGTTCGTCAGATTTTAGGTAAATAATGCACCAAAGTCCCTTTATATCCTTCGATTTGCACGAAATTTGGCAGAGCGTACTGAATTAAGTCTAGAACGATGTGTGTTCAGTTTCCCGAAAATCGGTTCAGATTGAGATATAGCTCCCATATATAGTTTCGTCCGATTTTATGTAAATGGTGCACCAAAGTCCCTATATATCCTTCGATTTGCACGAAATTTGGCATAGCGTACTGAACTAAGTCTAGAAAGATGTGTGTTAAATTTGGTGAAAATCGGTTCAGATTTAGATATAGCTCCCATATATATTTACGTCCGATTTAAGTTAAATAGTGCACTAAAGTCCCTATATATCCTTCGAATTACACGAAATTTGGCATAACATACTGAATTGAGCCTAGAGTTATCTCTGCCAAGTTTCGTCAAAATCGGTTTAGATTTAGATATAGCCCCCATATATATGTTCGTCCGATTTTAGTTAAATAGTGCACCAAAGTCCCTATATATCCTTCGATTTGTACGAAAATTGGCAAAGCATTTTGAATAAAGTCTAGAACGGTGTGTGTTAAGTTTCGTGAAAATCGATTCAGATTTATTTATAGCTCCTATATATATTTTCGTCCGATTTGATGTAAATGGGGTACCAAAGTCCCTAAATATCTTCTGATTTGCACGAAATTTGGTATAGCGTACTGAATTATGTCTAGAACGATGTCTGTTAAATTTCTTGAAAATCGGTCCTGATTTAGATATAGCTCCCATATAAATTTTCGTCCGATTTAAGGTAAATGGGGCACCAAAGTCCCTATATATCTTTTGATGTGCACGAAATTTTGCATAGTGTACTGAATTAAGTCCTGAATGATGTGTGGTAAGTTTTAGGAAAATCGGTTGAAATTTCGATATACCTCCCTCCCGAATGAAATAAAATTTATCATAGGTTGCCGAAAGACATGAATATGTTCCTTCGAGGGAACATTGATATGCAATTGTAAGAATACATATGTACAATATAGCCAAGTGGTGAAGGGTATCATATAGTTGGCCCAGTCCGGTTTTACTACTTTCCTTCTAATTTCTATCTTAATAAAGAAGTAGTAATGCATTGCCTTACCTTTAAAATACATGATCCTTTCGCCTCATTTTCCGCAACGCTGACATTATAATAAGTCCTATCGAAAATCGGTTCATTATCGTTGACATCATGGATGGTAACTAAAATCGTAGCCGTTGATGACATTGGTGGATGGCCATTATCATGAGCCAACACCGTTAGTTGAGGTACTGGTTCCGTTTCACAATCGATATGGCTACGTGTGGTAATCACTCCCGTGTATTTATCAATTTGAAACCATTGCGAATGGGTGTCAGGTGTATCCAAAAGACTATATGTTACCGCCGAGTTATTACCCTCATCCCGATCATAGGCAAACACCTGCAGTACCGATGTTCCAGGATCTGAGATTTCCATAACGTTGGCTTGATAAATGGATTTTTCAAATTCCGGGGCATTATCATTGATATCGGTGACACGTAAATAAATTGTCTTCGAGGCATGCAGGGGAGGGGTACCATTATCTGTGGCCACTACGGAAAGGGTGTAGTTTGGGGTTATTTCACGATCCAATGTCATGTTGACAATGACGAGATAAATTATATTGTCTCGAGTGGTTAAACCAAAATGACCATCACCACCGTTGAGGGTAACATTGACATTGGCATATTCGGTTTTCGAGTCGGGGTCGTGAACAGATATCCTTGCCACAAAGTCACCAGGTTCAGCTGATTCAGATATCTTCGGCGTGGCATCATCACTGAGGAAAATCACATTTATTGTCGGCTGATTGTCGTTGACATCGGTGACCCGTATCGATACAAAGGTTGTGGTCTCCAGTGGAGTTTCTCCATGATCCTTGGCCACCACCACCAATTCATGTAATTCCCTGGTCTCAAAATCCAGCGCCTTATTCACAGATATCCAACCAGTTTGCGGGTCGATTTGAAACATTTGCTCCTTATCACTCTGGCGACGATTTATGGAGTATTCGGCCAAACCATTTTCCTCTGCATCAGCATCTGTGGCATAGACCTGCAGTACCATGGTACCCACTGTGGCATTTTCGGGGATGGTGGCAAAATAACGACTCTGATTGAAAATCGGTTGATTGTCGTTGACATCCTGTATGGTAATGTTCACGGTCATTTGTCCCCTCAGGGGTGGGGTGCCACCATCCAAGGCCTCTATTACCAAACTGTAAAAGGGTGTAGTTTCCCGATCCAAAAAGCCATTGATCTGTAAATCCAAATAGAGCACACCATCACGTTCGCGATGCGACGACAAACGAAATGCATTGTTCGTATTACCCGAAACGATATTGTAGCGCTGAGTATTATAACGACCGAGATCCATATCGCGAGCCGGATTTAACGTCCTCTTTACGTCACGCGGTGTATTTTCCGGAAATTCAATATTCATAACCGACGTTGGAAAAGTGGGGGCATTATCATTTTCATCGAGAACTCGTATTTGTACGCGCACATTTTCACCACTTCGGGGTATGGCCACGAGGCTGTAAGAGGCTCGTGTCTCCCGATCTAAACGCACTTTTGTCCGTATTTCACCGGTGGTATGATCAATGGCTAGGTCGGTGTCAACACCACTACCCGGTACGGGTACAATTAAATATGGCGGCCCACTATCTACCCCCGGCAGCTGTTCTCCGATATAGCCAATTTGATGGCCTATGGGGACACCCTCCGATACATCTAATTTGCGATCCAATTCTGCTCGTACCACGTGACATGTGGTTTGTAAAATTAGGCCTAATACTAATAAAAATGGCCAATGCCTATGACTTGTTGTGGTTGTTGTTGTTGTTGTTTTTGTTATGGATGACAGGGATGCTGATGATGATGATGGAGTATTGAGGCGAGGGCAAGAATTCTGTTTCCTACTATTTTGTTCATCCATTGTCGATCTTCTTCGAAATCTATGCTGCATGTTAATATATTGTTGGCTGGTTGGATTTATTGTAATGTTTGTTGTTGTTGTTGTGGCCTTATTATGTAAATCAGTCATATTTGTTGTTATTATTTGAGGGTTCTGTCTTTTAATATTAAATTTCCTCAGAATATGTTGTTGTTGTTTGTGCTGATGAAAATCTTCTTCTTCTCCTCCTTCTTCTGTTTGTTTTAAGTAGCTTTTGCTCTTTGTCCACAAAGAGCCAAAAAGCTACTTAAACTTGTTGGGGGGTTTTGTTGGGTTTATAGTGTAGTTCGTGCCTTCTTAAACCCTCTTCTGTTGACAATCAATCTGAAGTTTCTTCATGATGTTGTTGCTTTGGATATTATTCGAAAATGGAATCATTGCTGCTGCATTTTTCTTTGTGGGAAAATGTTGGAGATTTCTTTTTTGACTTGCCGATGAACACGTGAAGGTATCTGAAACGGAAAGACAAACATTGGTTAGATTTTTTTAAATAAAATTTTATAAAAATCAATTCGAACTTAGCCATACAAATAATTTGAAGTTACATTTTTGAATAATTATACAGATTATTTTCAATATTTTTTTCGAAGTGACAAATAATTTTTGTCAATAATAATAAAGGGGCTTAGATTTTTTTAAAAATATGTTTTGGACAAAAACCGAAAACAGAGGCTTAGATTTTTTATTTAAATTAATCTTTTATACCCTACACAACTATGTTGTCAGGGTATTATAGCTTAGTGCAGCCCCAAGAGTTTTGTAACGCCGCGAAATATTGGTCCTAGACCCACCATTAAGTACACCGATCGTCATATCTCGACTAGCTGAATTGATCTAAACATGTGTGTCCGTCCGTCTGTGTGTGCATTATAATTTGTAAACACGATACAGGCCACAGTTATGAACCATGTTTTAGGTAAAGATCGGTAAAAATTTAGGGGATGAGATGGTTTCTGTGGTTGCTCTAGAGGCAACAATTGTGGCCCAAAACCTCGCTATTTTTACATGGAGAAGGGGGTCAGGCCAAAGAATAAGCATGCCTGTTCTGATAAAGATCGGTCAATATTTAGAGGGTCAAATGAACCCTGACGTTTGTGTGAAAAATGAAAAAAATGTATTCTATAGCGTATATATTTACTCTTGAAGGATATAGAGCCGAGAAGTTAATAGTATATCCAAAAGGAGTGGTTGGCCTTTAAATTGATACCAGTTATATTGTTGTATGTACTCGAAAAGGACCTATCGGAGCCCTTCAATACCGAACGAGGATTCCGACAAGGTGACAGTTTGTCGTGTGATCTTTTTAACATCCTGCTGGGAAAAGATCATACGAGAGGCAAAGGTGAACAGAAATGGCACAACACATGTTATTCGCCTACGCCGATGACATCGATATAATGGATCGAACATTGCGAGCGGTAACAGCCACCTTTGAATAAATTGAAAAGGAGTCTGCCAAAGTGGTATTAGCAGTAAACGGTGAGAAGACCAAGCTGATGGTATCAACGCACAAGACGTCCCGTAGACTCGGACCAACTGTGGAATTTGAGAACTACATCTTCGAGTTAGTTAAAGATTTTATATACCTTGTTACCGCCATAAATAAAACTAATGACATCAGTTTTGAAATTCGGCGGAGGATTGTGATGGCCAAAAGATGCTACTATGGTCTAAGTAAGCAGTTTAGAAGCAAGGCCACCTCCCGCCAGACCAAACTCACACTTTACAAGACGCTGATACTAGATGAGGCAGCTCTTGGGGTGTTTGAAAGAAAATTTCTCAGAAAGATCTACATCTTGGAACGTGATCTTCCAAATTGGTGGATTTGCGCACAAGACCGACGCGCTTGGAAATCTTTTTTAAGCTCGGCTTATGGAACAACAGTTCTGTAACAAGTAAGGAAGCATGTACTCCGATTTGCGGGTTACACTTAAGTATTTACAGGTGCTTACGTATTCAGATATTATCTAGTAAACCGTTACCACACTGGAGAATATAACGTTACTTATGACCAAGGACAACGCCTGTAATTTTCGGTGATTATCAGATAACAATTTTGGGATGAAGTGGACCAACAACTTTTTTGTGTATTTTTACGAGTCGATCTTTAGGCCAAAGTTATAAGCCGAACATCACAACACAACCCACGGTGAAGGGAATGTGGACAAGTAATTAGAAAGACTGTACTGAATATTAGTAATATTCGGAAAATAAGTCAGTGTAAGGAAGAGGTGCAGTTGACCTCCCATCGGGCAAGAGGGTGAAACTACGTCAATATATTGCCCAGGCTCGGAATTAAAATCCGCAGAAAGTTACAGTTCCGTGGTAGTCGTGTCGGCCCCGTCCGACTATACTGCTCCCCTCACTGTTTATACCCTTCACCACACTGTGATACAGGGTATTATGTCTTTGGGCATATGTTTGTAATAGGCAAAAGAAAACGGGATAGACACATGGTTCCTTTTGAGAATATGCATAGAATCACTCTTAAAGTAGATTTATGCATGTCCATATATTTGTAATAGGCAAAAGAAAACGGGATAGACACATGGTTCCTTTTGAGAATATGCATAGAATCACTCTTAAAGTAGATTTATGCATGTCTGTCCAAGTTAAATTATAAACAAAATACAGGTCGCATTTTTGATTCGAATTGGATGAAACTTGACACAACTCATTTATTTGGTCCGATTTTATGTAAATTGTGCACTAAAGACCCAAAATGTGTTCAATTGCCGCACAATTTTGTACAATGAAGTTAATATAAATTAATCTCTGGTTAATATAAATTAATCTCTGGGAAGTCTCATTGAAATCGGTTCTGATTTAGATATAGGTGCACCAAACTCCTTATGTTTATCAGATATTTATCGAAATAATCAACGGGTGTCTGATTGGTATTTACTTTAGGTCCCCTTAAAGTAAATATCAATCAGACACCCGTTGACACCTTCTCGGTGTCAAAAATTTTTGTTTAGTTTTTCGAATCGACACTAATTCAAGATGTCATGTCCCTACAAAATTTCAAGTGAAAATCTCAAGAACTCTTGAAGATATAGTCGATTTATTGTGTCATCATCAAGCGACGGCAAGAGTGATTCTCAAACTTTGAACGCAATTTTCGAAAAAAACTAATAACCCAATCGATTTCAAATTTTGGGTCGTTTCTCTGTGAGTGTATAGCTATTGTATGAACACTAATAACCTTTGTGGTCAAAATATGCGATTTAAAAAAAATTTTGTTAATTGTTGTCGTTTCTCTGTGAGTGTATAGCTATTGTATGAACAAGGATAAAGCCAATCGGGGAAGATCTTCCTTATTTTTTAACTTAGTTTGTGGTCAGAATTATGAGTATACCAATGAAGCAATTGTAGGTGTGCGAATTAATTATCCATCGATACAACAAAAATATGCTTTAAAAGGACTGTTTCTATAAAGAAGACAAATGTCGAATCTTGACAAAATTTGAATTTAATTCGCATATTCAAGTTTCGCATCAGGGCGGAATAAATACATGTTATCAACATACGACCTTTGTAAAGCCACATAGCCCAATATGCCTGATGAGCCGCTTAACCAACGGCGAAACGCGTCGCATAATGGTGGGTACGTAGGTTCTTCTCCTGGCTTTCCTTTTCATTGCAAAACTTAGATCATTAAGCACAACTTGAAAGGGTATACATAACTCACTTAAAAATTACTTTCAAATTATTTACAAGGAAAAATTAAGAATATTAAGTCGTGGATTTTTAAAAAAAATATTTTTCAAAGAATAACTAACTCCTGGATTTTTTAAAAAATATTTTCTTTAAAGTCTTCAGTCTTTCTTCCTCCCATTGATCATTTCCCCCCATCCCATTTTTTTCCATTCAATTGAAACTTTCAATTTTTTTTAATGTTGTCTTAATGAAAACAAATGTGCCAATTGTGCTGTTTGACAATTAATTAGAAATCATGAATTAATGTTGGCTTGCTTGGCTTTTTTGTTTAAACAATTTGTGATTGGTTGTTGTTTAGCGTTTTTATTTGTCATTTTCCTGCGGTTAACTATAAGAAAGCATGCAATCTTTGTGTTGTTGTTGTGTTAACTATTTACAGTGTTTTTGTTGTTGTTGTTGTCGCCGATGTTTTCAAATGAGCCGTTCAGTCGTACGAAGCTGGTCATTTGTCAGTTTATGTGTTTTATTACCTGTTGTGTATTTTTATGATTTTTCTATAAATGAAAACTTAATTAAATTTCGCTGTAGCAGTCACATAAAACTGGGGGATTTATGACATTCATGATGCTGGTGGTGGTGGCGATGATAATAATAATCGGTTGATTAGTTTGCGGTAGGGAAAATAAAGAGTTTATTGGTGATTTTTTTGTTTTTGGGAAGAAAGATAAAATTAATAAATGCAGGGAAGTCATCGGGGATTGGAGTTATGAATATTGAACATAATTCGATAATGGGGATGGAGTTAAAAATAAATTATTCAGCTGTCCTTTCGATAGGGGATATTTTCGTGGAATCTATTCTTGAAACATAAGAAATTAATAGTGAACAAGTGAAAAAGCGTTAAGTTCGGCCGGGCCGAACTTTGTATACCCTCCACCATAGATATACTGACAGGTACTAGAAATGAAAATAAAGGAAACATACCAAAAAGTGGATTATGTAAACCATAATACAAATTTCAGAAATTTTTAATTGATAATTCAAATTCGAAGATGGGGAAAAACCTCCACAGAGGCTAGGTCTAAATGCGACTATATTTCATTATCGAACCTTACGTTCTAATTTTTTACCTCGC